TTTCAAGCTTAAGCTTTTGCACTGCCTCCTCTGCCATTACGTTCTCACAGCTCCCACCATCAATAATAAGCTTGCAAACCTTCCCTCCAATTATGCAGGTTAAATGAAAAATGTTGCTACGCAACCAATGACCATCCTTATTGTGTAGAGTGAAACAAACTCTTTTAACTACAAGGGCTTCTCCTTGGTCCCCATGTAATATCTCTTTCAGATTTTCATTTTCATCACTGTCATATATTGCTTGTGAGAAATCATGAAAATCAAGTTTTTACCTGGACGATCCAATTTTCGACATTCATTGGACTTGTGACCAAGTTCACCACACTTATGACACCTTTCACCAAAAGTAGGAGCATTCTTGGCATTGGAGCTTCCACTAGATGTGACTTTTGGGGCAGTAGGTGTTGGGACAATAGGCTTGGAAGCTGTTGGAAGGCGTACTATTGTAGAACCCTATGAAGAAGCACTATATCGACTACTTTGTTTCTCAATCTGGAGAGCCTTTTGATATGCTGCAGATACATTATAAGGATCATATAGATTAAGTGTCTCTTGAATATTTTGGCGCAATCTACCAATTGGTCATTGGTCTCATCCAAGTCATTTCGTGCAAGCAGATTGTAAAATTCCTCCGTATAAGAACTCACTAACTTATTGCCTTGCCGAAGATTTTGTAATTGCTTATACAAAGATCTTGCGTAATTATGAGGCAAAAATTTAGTACGCATGTATCTCTCCATCTTTTCCCATGTTTCAATCTTTCTCTTTCCTTTTCGAATATGAGAGGCCTTAACTTGTTACCATCAAGCTGATGCTCTTCCTCGTAAATGAGTGGCTACCAATGCCACCTTTTTGTCTTCTGGTACCTCCTTGAAATCAAAGATGTCCTCTACTGTTGTCAACCAATCTAAGAGATCCTTCGATTGCATCCCACCTTAAAACTTGGGGATTTCAGTTTTAAACCCAGAATCCCAGCGATTATTGTTATTTTGAATCACCTAAGCAGCTGCTCTGTGGGGAATATATGGTCTCCTTCGTGCCCCAAAACTTGCAAATGGATTAAAATTTGCATATTCTTCTTCATAATCTTCCTCGTAACCCTTTGGTGGTGGTGAAGGGTTTTGTCTTTCTCGACAATTTGGTGGCGGATTGTCAGGAAGTCAAAGTCTGATTTCCTCCATCATATACATCATTTATGCAAACTGATTGTCATGTCAAGCCAAAGATTGCTTGATTTATGCCATTTCATCTCCTTGGGAATGAACATTTCGCCTTGGAAACATCCGGAAGAACGTAAACTGAGCTCTGATAACCAACTGATGCAGGGTGCAGCAGCTAGAAAAAATAAAAATAAAACGAAAAAAGAAAACTAGTGGATAAGGTCCACTATCTCCTAGTGTGAGGAAAGACCTGAAAAAGCCTCGTCTCTAGTACCAGCCTACAACATAGACAACTAGAAGAACAAAGCAAAACAATCTCACAAAGAGAAAGGTACAAACTCAGAAACTTCAATGAATATTTTAATCATCAATAAAAACGTTCAACTCCCCAACCTTCCAACAAGAAGAGGGTTTTATCACTAATTTGTAACTTACATTCAGAATTCAAAAGAGCCTTAAACTTAGTAACACTGAAAATTGAAAATTACATGAAGAAAGGCTATTATCAGCCATAAAAGCGTCATGGTTGTTATGAGCAGCCAAAAAAAGGCCCCAAGCTATTATTGAGTTTAAGTTTATTAAGTCCTACTTAATATTGTTAAGCATTCAATTTATCCCAACGATCCATAAATGAGCTAGCCATCATATCTGCATCATTGCCTAGCTAAATAATCAAGGGGGCCAATGTTAGGGCCCAAAAATTTCACGAAAAGCCCAAGTAGATTGAAGGCCCATTGCTTTGTACAGTTCAAACGCCTCATGCTAAACCCAATTATATCATACGTATTTATCCAAAAAAATTAGTAGTTAAGTACGGTTTTACATAAGTTTTAATTATTATCATACCATGCAAGCAATAAAATATATCACGCCATGCCAAGCACATTCCTTTAAATCTAACATATACCAAGATTACATGACTCAAGAAATGTGGTTTCACAAAGCTTGCTAGAAGGGTTGAGGTGTGTGAAAGGTTACGGAGGTCCACAAGGCCTATTGAAACTCTTCGATAATAGAAACTTTGGTTTATTTTGGAGCACCAAAGTTCAATCCTATTACTTGGGGTAGCCCCTCGCTAGGTAAGCAAATGAGATATTTTCTTACACCGTATTTTGGTGCACCATCATTAACCTAACTCTACAGCAACTCATCCTCCCAAGTCCTTCCCGGGAACCTATTCATGCACCAAGCCATTTCACCTTTTTAGCTAATTAAAAAGAAAAGTGAACACAAATAAAGTCGTGGCTTTCACCATAAGAGGAAGATTTTGAGGATTTCCTACTGGAAATATCTTTAGCATCTTTGACCTTCATACTTCTTTTATCCACCGAAAATAAGCTGTTACCAATGTCCCTTTTTGTCCATTAGACATAAGCCAATTTTGGCTCTTCATTTTACCTGTTGAAAACGTGTTGTTTCTGGCACATCCTTTAATTCAACAAAAATTAGGGATAACCTTCACCCATTATAAACTAGAAGCCAAGATCAGAGTAAAAGAGGAGGTAGGGGGAGGTGCCAGCTTACCAGTACCAAACATTCTCCAAAATGCCTTTTCAACTTCATGCTTAGAGAAGAACTTCTCCTTGCTGCAAAAAATACTCTCCCTATTGTAGGAAACCCTTTTTGACTGCTGCCATGTTTCCTTTACTAGCTACTAGCCCAACTTCAAGCTTCACACACCCCTGCCTTCAAAATTTTCTTTCTCATCTTCTATAAAATCACCACCATAATCAAAACATCAAGTTCCCCGTTGTACTACACATGAAACTCAACCACCATGCCCAACTCATCCACCACCAAAATCTCTTAAAAACCTTCATGCTAAACTTAAGCCTAGCCCAACCATCTCATTTGTTAAACTTGTAGGTCTTTAGCTCCCACAACTCAGCTCTCATGCCAAGCTCACACGCCAAACTTAATTATTCTAATCCCCAGTATTTGTTAGTTTAACAAATCCTCATCACAGCCGCCGGAAGCACCTCAACAAAAGCGAGAAGCACGCCAACAGCCACCGGACAAACTTTGACAGACCGCTGGAAGCATTTCAATAGAAGATCGACCCAACACTTTGGAGTTGCTAGAAGAAAAACGAAATATTCCTAGAACTTGCTTCTCCTTTGGGATGTTTGGGCTTTGGTTTTTGCTAACTCAGATATAAGGGGCATAATGGCTTCAGTCACCTCTTCCCGATCAAAAGTCCAACAAAGCCTCCGACCAAAAAGACCCCAATAAAAATTTACAAAAAAAAGCCATTGTCGTGTCTTGACTGTATCCAAACCATTGACCGTGTCTAAACTGTGCCTGGAGCGTGTCCGAGGCATAACGGCGTGTCAGGGTGTCTCCGACACTTTGGAGTTTTGGAGTGTCCATGCAACATGGATTGTAGGTAGGTTTTTGTTTTTTTTGATCCGTAGGTAGGTATTTAATGTGGGGTAAAAATTCAGATGGGCTGAGCCTACCCTTGTTTGGCCTGGACTCATGCCTGCCCATGTACGAGTATAATCATTGACAATCGTGAGGAAGTATCATGCCCCATTGATAGTAGAAAAATGGTATCCCGCCAAATACATGAATTGATGAAGCTTAAAGAAAACTAATAACAAGTCTGTTTAGTTAATTAACGGACAAATTGAAGTATCATTAATGTCACAAAAACTCATGTCTCTAACAGAATGAGATAAAGCACGAAGGCTTTTATTAGAAAGATGACCAAGGCGTTGATGTCAAAGGTGAGGTAAAGAGGACTTTTAAATGGTATTGCTTTACTTGCCCCGAAAGATGATCAAATGGCAAGCTCAAAAAGCGTTATCTCAAACTTGCTTGCTATATATGGCTGATGCAGAACTTCTTGTGAAACTGTAATGCAGGGTCATAAGGGAGTGCATTCACATCTTAAAACCCTTTTTTTCTAGAAGATGGCAAGTGATCAATCTACCACTGTGGGTTTCTGGTCCAAATCAGTGGCAGTGATCATATTCCAAACTTTGACTGTGAACCAACAGACGATTAATACGAGAGATGAATACACCACTTCCTCTTATTTAGGGCAGCGTACGTATTGAGGATTGGGGGGACTTTAAAAAAAAAAAAATTAATGATCTTTTTGCCCTTTCGAGCAAGCTTATAAATCCTCCCAAGCACGTTATATGTTCCTTCTGCCTAGTTCTGTGAGAGACTGGTACAATTATCTATCTTGGGATGTAGGTGATACCTTTATTTCCTCCCCTTTTTTAGGTCAAGCATATTCTTTGCAGTGCCCGGGAAATTGCATGTATCACAGAAAATGGGTTGGGAGCATAAGATTTCCATCTCACAAAGCATTCCCACCAGGATTAATTAGTCCTCAGGTTAATTAGACACAACCATTGACTTCGAATTCTCCTTGTCATTCTCCATGATTCTGACCACTAATACTTAACCTTTTCCTTTTGTTCTCCTTTTTGGGGGTTTTGCCTTCTGCCTTCTTTTATAGACAAAAGGTCCATAAAAAAGTTTAGAAAATGATATTCATATACCTTTTTTTCTTTTGCACATTCTGTTTAATTATCTCTCTTAATTTTCTTTTTGTTCATTCAATCTAAACAATCAGAAATAAACAAGAGTATGCAAAAAGATAAAAAGTGCATATTTTACAATTTTCAGCCAGAATGAAATCCATATGCCACCATACTCCCCAACCAAACACATAAAGATGATATAGAAAGAATTCTTTTAACCTTCATTTAGTATTTTGTCCATACAATTTCACTGAAAAGAATACAAGTATGAAAAATATTCAACCAATTTAGTTTTTTATTTTTTTATTTTTTTATTTTTTTATTTTTTTAAAGAAGAAAAAAGGATTAAGAATAGAAAATTGGAGGCTACCAATAATTCTCAGGTTGCCAAAGGCCTAAAATTAATACCAAAGTGATGGTGAGTGTTAAAGAAACTGACCACTTAGAGGAAGACCTCGGGTCCAAAGAAACTGCATGGTTGTAAGAATTTTCACTCAGCAATGAGCTAAACCTGAAATTAGGGTTTGAACCGTACAAAGCTTGGACACCTTCCACGTCATCAACCCTGAGGTTCACCTTCTTGGTCCGAGGACGCAGGCTCGGGTACATCACGGCCTCCTTGACCGAGGAGTGAGCCAGCCCGAGTACATGACCTATCTCATGAGTCGCCACCGATTCCAAATCAATCGCCTCCTTTGACTTATCCGTTTTGAAATCAATGGCCCACGATTCCGCCTCGTCAAGGTGGAACTGCCCGTTTTCGGGCGAAAAAGCATGCGCCAGCACACCTAACACCCCATCGAACGGCTTCCCGTCTCCATGGTCGCCGCGGTAAAACCCTATTTTAATATCCGCGGAAGTGTAGTTCTGCGTCTCGGTGAAGTTCACGGGGATAACCGCCGACCACCGCGAAAAAGCGCGGCAAAAAATGTCTCGAACATCCGATGGGTTCAGGTAACTGACCGTGTGGTTGGGGGAGAAAGCGTAAGTGAGCGGGGAAGGGCGCTCCCACCTCGGCTTGCCATAGAAGTAGGCGAAGTGACGGGTCGCATGCAAGGCAGTATGTTGCGACGCATCACTAACACCACATCTAGGCGAAATGATCGCTGAGATTGTGTCAGTGTCCAGCTTGCCTGTAACGGGCAGGCTCAGCTTGGACTGGTATAGCGTCAGGGCCGACTCAAATTCGGTGTCGAAGAAATCGGTGAAGTTGGAATTGGGTAAGTAGCCGAAGCGGTGCATGTAGTTCTTGAGCTCCGACATGCCGCTGACTAGGCTTCCTCTGCCGGCGTCTAGGAACCTTGAGAAGCCGTGCCATGTGGCATTGTGGACGTCGGAGGCATCAGTTAATACAGGTACTGAGTCCGGTAAGATTCTGGCGGGAAAGGCAGGGCGGGAAAAACAGAGGAAGCAAAGACATATGAAGAAGAAGAAGACAGAGTTGTACCTAAAAAATGGGAACATGGTTTGATTTTTCGGTTATGTTAGTTATCTTGGGAGTTGAGCTTTGAGATTGCAGAACAATCATATGCTAATCTATAGATGGCATGTAAGGGACATTGGGATTAAGAAATGAATTATATATAAATAATATAAATAAAAGTTGATGTATTTTTTAATTTGAATATATTGGAATCATCGAAAGTTTGGGGGCTTATAGTTATAGGTAGGATCGATGGGAGAAGAACACTAGAAATTCAAATGATGGTGGAGAGATAAGTTAACAAGATTCTGCCGTGTTTGTATTTTGGTTGGAGATTCTGACTTTCAAGAGCAAATGATGGGTAAACCACTAGGTCAGTTTTCTGTTAATTAATAATTACTTTCACTAATCCTTTTTTTCTTTATTTTTTTAATATCAGGCTTAATAAATCGGCATCTCTTGGTCTGGATTAGTTGATGATTAGTGGGTTCTGGGTCTTGTTTATTTGAGGGAAATTAAGAAAATTGGATATGCTTAAAAATTTGAAGTGTAGGTCAAGTTATATATTGGTTGATCAGTTTAGAGTACTCTATTTGCTGACCAAATTTGGTGATTACAATTAAAATGATCGAGTATAAGTGTAGAGAAATCATTTTCTAGTGAGGGTTTGTTTTGGGTTAAACTTGTTATACTTAAACAAGAAAGTTTCTTCATCTTAGGACAGACCATTAAGCAAATGTATGAACTGATCATGCGGATGGCTTTTCCAAGTAAATTTAAACAAGAGAAAAGGACTGGTGGTCCAAATTAATATCAACAGTTAAGAACTACTTCATGATTTTGTTATTTATTTTGGGTCCAACCTCATGATATACACGTTGAAGAATAGAGTCTCATATTGCAAATGTTACCAAAATAATGTGCAACTTATATGTGAGAATTTCACTTCTAATATCATTGAATTTTTTTTGATAAAACTCAATACCCAATAATAATTGGTTAAGTTAGAACAATATTGGTGATATATTCTAAACTGAAACTCACGCCAACAATACATTCATGGTTCATGAGTGATTAAACCATATGGTTTTCTTTTATTAAAAAAATTAACTCCTTATTTTCTAGTCCTCTACTTCAAAGCCTTCGATGCTAAAGACCATTTGGTACAGTAACACTCAATCTTCACTTTGTGCAATAGCAGGCTCAAGATTTTATCTGCTTAGGACATAAGAATTTGTTTTCATAACCATTTTTACTGAAAATTTACCAAATCCTTTGCCAATCAGCTCCATTCTTAGTTAATTAAATTTTTTTTTATTGTAATTAAGTATGTGATCATATGCATTATTTTGGAGAAGAGGTAAACTCAAATACCATGAACAAACAATGTAAATATTGTTTGGGCTAAATCATCTAAATTTACCTATAAATTATGGCATGAGATCTAACTGAGTGCAAAAAATATTGATTGTATTAAAAGCATTCGCGCCATTTCATCTAGAGAATCCGGCAATACAGATGCACCATGATTTAAAGATATTAACAAGGCTATGACGTTGTTCTTGTTTAATATGATTTAATTCGTTTTAAATAATGTATTGGAAAGTCCTTCTATGACTTAAAGCATAAAAAAAAAATCAAATTGATGCACAATCGTTTAATTAGAAACCAATATTGCCACTTAATACTACGGTCTGGTAATATTTATCTTCACTTGTAAGAGAGATGCCCTACTTTCAATTCTTTCCAAAGACGAAGTTGAACTATATTATTATGGTTAGTTCAGTGTCAGACTTAGCCTACTCTTTCCCCTCCCTTAGTGCAGATACTATTGTTTAAACATAAAAAATTAGAAGCCAATAGTTGACTTCTTTCTTTCTTTATTATCGCAAAATCCCTTTTTGTTTTAATATATAGCATCTGTGGCATAATAAAAAAAAACACAAGATTTGACACAAGTTTTAAACCATTAAATTAGTCTACTTTTAATGGTTGAGATGCAATATGACATGGCATTTAATTTGACATATAATTCTTCAAACAAATATACATTATAATAAAAATAAAAATCCAAAACTTTCTTAATTATGAATTTGATTCTCTCTCCTCAATACTAATTAATATTTCTTTGGTTCTCTCTTGCATTCCCCTTGCTTTCCTTTTTCTCTTCATCCTCGCCTCTAATTCTGAAAATTTTCTCCAACTTCATGTTAACATCTTCTAGTCAATTGCACCATAAGTCTTTTTTCCACACAAAAGCATCGTACCCCATAGAACACATCACTACTATGGCACTCTTGACTCTTGTAACTACATTTTATTCACACCCTTACATGGTACTTTGTAGCCTTAGAAATCATGTATTTTTTAATAACATTGAGAAAAAAAAAATCCTGTTCTCTCTCTCCCAGAGGATATACTTTACCACCACCTCGTGGTTTTGGGTTTGTTTCTAGAGATCAAAGATGTTGAGGACTATATATATTACTCTAGAATCACCAAATTGAGTGCGAATCTAAACCCTAAAAGTTGAAAACAATAAGTGGTACCTATTTGGTTGGTGCAGCAAGATATGACCATCATGATCAATATGAGCAAGAAATTAGGAAAAAAAAAAAACGAAAAAACTTGGTAAAAAAAATTGCAAGGGAGGATGAAGGAAGAAGAAAGATTCAAAGGAAAAAGGGAGAAAATTATTGAAAAATAATTAATGAGATAGGAAGAGAATAAAAAATCTCAATTAAAAAGTTTTTAGGTTATTTTCAATACAAAATTACTTAGATAAAGAAAAATAATTGGACTAATTAGATTGCATCTTAATCATTAAAAGTGGACTAATATAATGGTTTAAAACTTGTGTCAAATCTTGTGTCTTTTTATGGTGCCACAGATCCGCCTATAGTAGTGATGTACTCCATGGGATACGAAGCTTTTTTGTGGAAAAAAGACTTATGGTGCAATTGATTGGAAGATATGAACATGAAGTTGGAGAAAATTTTCAGAATAGAGGAGAGGACGAAGAGAAAAAGGAAAGCAAGGGGAATACAAGGGAGAACCAAAGAACAATTAATTAGTATTGAGGAGTGATGTGAAAAATAAGTTAACACACAAAATTAAACCCTCTTTTTATCAATTGTAGCAAAGTATGTAAATAGGGATCGTTCTAGACCGGGGATTAGGAGGGATTGCTAAACACTTGAAAACTGACTTAGAAATGTAAAAACAAAGTTTAAAGCACTAGATTAGACTCAAAGAATGCAAAACTCACGTTAAAATACTAAAACGAACCAAAAGAATCAAAACAGCAACCAAACACTCAAAACTGCCTAAAAACCACTTTCTGGGCAGTTTTGGGACTCTAACTCAACTTGGACGAATTTTGGTTTCCTAGTGACCTAAAACACCTAAAAACATAAACCAACACACTTTCCAATTAATCTAGGAATTCAAAATAATTGGGGATTTGATTTGGACGAAAATAAACTTAAATGGCAGATTGTAAGAGAAACAGATTGTAATACAAAGTTATGAAGAATCAATGGATGATGGAATGGCTAAGGGGTTCTTCTCCACACATGAAATATATGCAACGTAAATCAATTTCCAGTTATCAATTCAATAAGTTATGAACCTCAACACTCCAAGTTAATTTTTTTTTTTTTTTTGAAGAAAACTCCAAGTTAATTAGGTCCGCTTAAATTAACCTTCAGATTTCCCTAGGATCATTGAATTTGATGAATATGCATCGCAAACAAATTATTCCTAACAAGTTCTTTATATGAACAGCATGATAAAGACACAAGTTAGAATCATTACATTCTTTGGAAATCATAAGCATTGACAAGGCATTCGTAACTATGAAAAGCATGATACTCTTGCCAGGAATCTACTTAACACGATCGTGACTAGCGACCTTCACTACTTACGAATATAAATTCATAATGATTAGGTGAAACAAATTTATATCCTAGCATCAAATTCAAGCATGCAAATTAAGCGTGCACTCTCAATCAACATACAAGAATAAGTTCTAAATCAAATGGTTAAGCAAATTGTATTCACGACTTATGTAACAATAACTGGAAGTAATCAACTCATTTCACATATATAATCATGGTTTTGAATACACCCTTAGCCAAAAACGAAATTAGCCAATCATACTTTAAGCAAAACAAAGATTACATGAATTAGACATTAAAATCCAAAGAAAGAAAACACCTAGAATGCTCCAACTTGGCAGCAAGTGCATCCATGATTCCTCCTTTCCCTTGCTTGCGGCATATTGTGTTATGGACAGGTTTTGGGTAGTTTTATGGTGTAGAATGGATGGAATGGAATGGGGATGGTATGGAAAGGTTTTGGGTGAGTGTGGAGGAGTGTTTGATGGTTGGAAGGTGGTGGAGAACTCGGCAAAAAGGGTGGAAGAGGGTGGAGTGGCTGTTATGTTTTCTGGGCACTAGAATGGTGTTTTTGGGGTGTTTTGCTGCCTAGGGTGAGTATGGACGAATTTTCTGCATGAATGATGAATATGGGAGGTTCAACCCTTTGCCAAGGGTTGTAAACATGTATATATAGGCCCCAAAAACCCTAGAGAATCAGATTAGGCAGTGGGGAAATGCACAGCAAGGAGGGTGAATTTGTGGTGTGCAATGGTCCAAGGATGAAAATGGAGCAATGATGCAAAGTATGGAGTGGTATTTCAGCTAGGGAGCATGAATGATTGTGTTCATTGCATGGAAATGAAAAGGGGAGGTGAAATGTTTCAGAAATTAGTTAAAGGTGCAGCAACATGTGTTGCACAAGGCATTGGATCCCAAATGTGGATGATGGAGCACCAATTGGTGCATGGAATGGTTGTGAAATCTGATGGGTGAAGGGAACAAGAGGTATGCAGCAATTGAGTGCGATAATTGAGTGTATTGAGGCATGAAATCAGAAATATTTTAGGGGACAAGGATGATTAAGCATGCATGAGAATCCAAAGGGAATGCTATGTGGATTGCACGGCAAGGATGTGTGTTCTTTTGTGGCTGAGTTCATGATCCTTTGTACACTAATTCTTCACACTCTTAGCCTCTTTAAGTCTTCAATTTCGTCCAAACCTTGGTTCCAAATATGTGACATGCATTCCAAGCT